GTCTCACTTCTCTTGATAGCGTGGCAAAATACGTTGTTAAGCTATACACAAAGGTAAACCTTGAGATACTTACCTCAATAAAGCATGATCCCTTTAAGGGACTTACCCTTAATAAAGATAAGTTTTACCAGTACCAGCTTTGGAAAGCTTATGTAGAAGGATTTAACTGGAATTTCTCCAAAAAGGATATTTCATATTTTATTCTTCTTAAAGAGACAGCTGACACCAAACTTTATTGGAAACAGCTAAGGATGACAATTAAACTTGTACCCATGGGGATCGACCCGTCCCAGCTCCGAGTTTGACGGGGAAAACCCGAGTTGACCGGGCGGGGCAAGGGCGGGTTTTTCCGCTTTAAAAAGTCGGGGCGAGGATGGGGAATGCAATCCCGACCCCGACCTCAACCCCGTCCCCGCCACGACTTTATATTTAAAATTTAAATTTTAAAATATTAATATTTTAAAAGTATTTCCTTTTCTTTTTCTATTACATATAAGATCATTTTTTTATATTTCACCAATTTTTATTTTTCCTCTACCCATTTTTTAATTTTTTTTTGTCTTTTTTAATCTTTTATATCAATTAATTTATTACATTATTCTCTCTTACCTTTCAGTTTTTCACATTTTCTTAATCTCTCCCATCAATTTGTTTTTTTTTTCAATCTTTTCAACCAATTTGATGAACACAAAGTTAATTTTTTTTATTCTTTATCTTTTTCTAAATATTTTACATAAATCTTAATAGTAACTAATATTATTTTATTTATAATTTATATTTATTGGATTTTATTATGTCATATTTTTTTATCTTATTATTCTTATTTATTATATATCAAATTTTATCTTAATAAAATAATTGTATTTTAAAGGATTAAAGGAATTAATAATTTAAACTTTTATTACTCTGAACTAATTGAATAAGAATTAACTTATTAAATATTTCTTTATAAACTATATATTTCATATTTTTAAATGACAACTTAAAAATGAGTTAACTTATATATATAATCAAATGTTTGAATACAGTATTATAATAATAATGTTATAAGTATCTAAATATTTCAATACAGTGTTATAATAATAATAATATTATTATAAATAAAAAATGATTAAATATTTCTTTTACATATATATTTTAATATAAATATAGTAAATTAAAATGTATATTTAATTAATAATAATTATAAATTATAAATATTTAGTTATATATAAAAAATAGATAGTAAAATTAATTTATTATAAATGTAATTATCTTTTTAAAAATAATATAGATCGGGGACGGGACGGGGTGGGGGCGGGAACCCGAAACCCAGCGGAGACGGGGATGGAGATTTAATTTCTAACCCCGGTGGGGATCGGGGGCGGGGATCGGGGAGGCAAAACCTTCCCCCGTCCCGCCCCGTTGCCATGCCTATTAGCTCATGGGAAATAAGTTTCATCCTTTCCCTATTGAAGCCAACCCAGTTCTGGTAAAAGACTTTGAAAAAGAAAGAATTTTCAAAGAAATTTATGAAGAAACCGGAATCCATGGACAAGGAACTCCCGGAGCTTCATTTCCCTTTGACGATGAAGAAATAAACTTCACATATCAGATGATCGAAGAAGGTGTTCATAGACTTCCCATTACATAAGCCCTTACATTATACAACAATATCAAAAGATGACAAAGGTTAACGACAAATAATGATATTTTGCTACCTTGTCATGGTTCCTCTACCGTTACACGTTGTTAGACCCTTTAAGTCTTGCGTGCTAATGACGGTATGATTGAATCAATCTTTTGATAACAAATTGGTAGAAACTCTTCTACCAAAATATATAAAAAAGGAAAAAGATTAATTAATTACTATTCAATTTTATCTTTTAGTGAGTAGAAAATATCTTCCGTAAACTTCTCCTCTAAGTTTCAAGGTCTCATATTTCTTTATGTGGGTCCTAGGATATATTTTTATATTCAATAGTTTAATATTATTGTAAACATGCTTTTACTTTTCTTTTCTATATAAGGACTCATAATTCCCTTATGCACAGAGTCCTTCAGAAGTCTCCCCTCCTCTCTCTCCTCCAATTCTTTCCTCCTTCTCTCTATCCCTCTCTCACTCTCATGTAAATTTATCTTCATCAATAAGAGAAACACTTTCAGTTTCCCCCTTCTCCTTCCCCATTTCCGAGTAAGTTTTCTTTATTCCTCTTTTATGGAGTAGTTTTCTTATAAGGGCGTCCTCAGATGTCTTAAGTAGTATTTATTAAAAGATGCGGTAATCATTTAAAGGCTTAAAAACTTTTGTATAACTTTATTTTGATGTTCATATAAGCTTATGAGGATATATCTAACCGGCTGTGTCAGATTCAGTCATCTCATAATCTTATCATGAACTTGTATGTTTATTTTTCTGTCTTTACTTTTCTGCCTTTTTTTCATTCATATGTAAGCTTATGAGGAGATGTCTAACCGACTCTTCCAGATTCAGTCATCTCATAATCTTATTCTGAACATTTTCTTGCTATAACCGACTTTATCTCGGACAATCTTCATTTAAGCTAGTCTGGTTTCAGGTTCTTTGTAAATTAAGTAGTCACGTTGACTAACAGAAAAGATAAAGAGTTTAACATGTTTTGCTTTATTTCTTTTTCCGTTATGTCCCTCTTTTCCCCTCATTTTCATGGGTTCAGAGCAGTTTTTCCCATATTGGGTTTTTCTGTTCTTCTATATCTCCACTTTGGAATCATAGCGAGAAATCACCGGTTACTTGAATATTTTTACAATTGAACTGATTTGTATTCGCTAGGATACCCTTTGTAGTAGGGCATGTTAAGGTCAGGGAGTACCACGAGAACCCTAAGTCCCGTGAAGCTACCTGTGTGGGTTGAGAAATACTTTGCATATTGCGGCAGTCTTTGCAAAAATATTTTCTTGTACATCTTTTTAATTCTCTTTCTTGTTTATCTGTGTTATTTTCTTATTTAATTTTCTTGATAAAAAAAACAACAAAAATTAAAAACAATAAAAAGATTTTATTTTAAGCCTTATGATTATCTATATTCTTTTATAAATATTAGTTTACAGTGTATTATGTGGATCTCCTTATTCTCCTCAACTTATCTATTGCTCTAGTTTCTTGTTCTGTGATTTACTGCCTTTTTTTACAATTTTTTTATTTTGAAAATTTTAATGGAAGATACACACAACTCTATTAGTTGTTGAACAAATTATAAAATCCCCTCGTTATCTGGGATAAGCTTTATGTATCCCTTTGGAGGAGATTTTATAATTTGTTCAACCGCTAATAGAGTTGTTTCATAATCTTCATCTAAGATAATTTGTTCAACAACTAACAAAGCTGTTTTGTAGTCTTTGCCTAAAAAATGCTGCAAACTGTGTATATCTTCCATTAAAATTTTAAAAATAAAAATTGTAAAAAAAGCAGTAAATCAGAGAGCAAGAAAGTAGAAGCGACAGATAACCTGGAGGAGAATAAGGGGATCCACTGAATACACTATAAACTAATATTTATAAAAGAATATAGATAATCATAAGGCTTAAAAGAAAATCTTTTTGTTGTTTTTAATTTTTGTTGTTTTTTTATCAAGAAAATTAAACAAGAAAATAACACAGATAAACAAGAAAGAAAATTAAAAAGATGTACAAGAAAATATTTTTGCAAAGACAGCTGCAATATGCAAAGTATTCCTCAACCCACATACGTAGTTTCGCGGGACTTGGGGTTCTCGTGGCACTCCCTAGCCTCGATGGCGGATCTTCTTGGAAGGTGAGGGGGCCGTGACCCCTAAAGTTTTGTAACTCCCATATAATTTATGATTTTGGCCTCCCAAACATAATGAATATTTAATATATTTACTTGTATATTTACATTTTTATCTTCTCAGCCCCTCCTCGGTTTGTAACTCTCATAATTTATGATTTTGTTTCCCTCAAACTTAATGATCATTTAATATATTTAAGTATATATCTAAAATTTTATTTTTTTACCTTTTCATCTTCTTTTTTCCTTTTATATTTATTTATTATTTATTAATAATATATTATTTTGCTTCCTCAAGATCAATGGTCAAGATCTGCTAACTGTCTAGCCTTAACTTGCCCTACTACAAAGGATATACTAGCGAATACAAATCAGTTTAATTGAAAAAATATTCGGGTAAGTGATGATTTCTCCTTCGGATACAAAAAGTCAAGATAAAGAGTATACAAATTTATTGATGGACATTGTGGAATTTATTCGTTATTATAGTTTTTCTTTTTTTATAAATACGGTTCCTACTATTTTCCTAATAAACTTATTAATTTATTAAAACTATTTTATAATATTTAAATACTTTTATCATCTGTATTGTCATGTTCTTGTGACAATATCGGTCTTCGACCAATGTTCTTTGTCTTACGTTTTGTGTTTTAAATTTTTTCTGTTTTTCAGTTTTTAAATAAGTTTATCTAAACATATTAAAAATTAAAATAAATAATTATATTATGAATTTATTTTTTTCTAAATAAACATAATAAATTAGAATTACTTGTGAAATAATATAATTACTTTATCTAACAAAAAGAAAGGTTTCATATGATGTAAAAATAAAATAGCGACCCGTATGATCGGTCGCTGAGGAATTAGCAGCCTTAAACCCAAATCCCCGAATCATACAAACGCAGAAATTGAAGTTCAACTCTCACTCACTCACTATCTTTCTCAACCCAAATCAATTTGCAGATTTCACTGTTGTTAAATTACGCCAGCGTGTTCCAATCAAATGCAAGTTCACCGGCAATGACTCTATCATCCTCTCCAACGTGTAAGAATCTCTGCTATACTCTGATTGTTTGTTTTGTTTTTCTTTCAGTTTTGCGTATGTCATGTTTGTGTTTATGTTTTCTTTTTCTTTTTTTAATTGGGGTTGCAGGAAGGTGGTGGGCTTGTGGAATCCCAAGGATTTCTGAGTAGCAAAATACTGTGTTGAGGGAAGTAGTTGCCACTTGATAATATGGCCCCCAAGAGGAAGTATCAAGTAATAATGCCTTTTATTTTCATTTTTCTCCCTTTTAATTTTTTTTTATTCACTGTAGTTGCTTTTTTCCTCTATCTTTTTAGTCACTAGTTTGGATATCAGTTTTTTGGTAATTCTTTGTGTGTGTCTCAATGATATTCGGCATGCTATGGGAATGGTGGGTTTGGGGATGGATGGCTGGAGTTGAATTAAAAGAAAAGGAATAAGTCTAGGCTGGATTAATAATTTGTAACTTTGAATTTAAGGCAATGTAAGTAGGTTTGGAGGACTTCGGTCTATGAGAGACTTATAAAGGAATTATGCTTCTTTATCTTGCTGTATGGATGGACTAGGTTTTATTATCTTCTATGTGTAGTTGTGCACGAATGTGGTAATTCATTTATTTTTGGGTTTCTCGTTGGTTCTATGGTCTTTACTATATGATGCTTTTAGGAGTTCTACTTGTTCATCTTTGTGCTACTTGAACCATAGAGTGCTTATCGTTGGATATTTTATAACTGTATCGTTGAGATTTAATACTTTACTTCATTGATTTTGCCATGCTTGCAAGAAACAAGCTTCCTTATGAAGTTTGCATGCACTTATCTGTATAATATCTGCCGGATTTTCATTGCATGTTAATGCAATTGGTATCTGTGATTTATTCCTACATTAGAGGGCGAGTCCTTTGTTAAGGATTTTGGCAAATGTACCAAGTTAAGTAGTGAAATGTGAAATGAAATTTTAAGTCCAAGTTTTGAATTCCAAAGGGCTAATGCAGTATTTATGTAAAATGGCATCTGTGTATTAGTTAAGTTTGGGGGAAAATAAGCTGCTATAGTTGCAACTCAAATAAAATAACAAAAGATAAAAATAAAATAAATAGTCAAAGATAAAGAGATTAAACTCGATGTGGATTGTTAAATAGTTGACTTGTAAAAATAGGACATATGCCCAATAATCATTGTTAATAACATGATTATATCCCAACAAAATGGTAAAATCGTCCCTTGGTGACTGATTGATCATGGACTTGAATCAAGAAATATCCTCTTGGCATATACAAGGGGACGGTTACATACAATTGTCCCCCACACCATCGCAAAGCGAGGAGCCTCTGGCACTGGGGTACTCTAGTTTTATTCCTGTGATTTCATTATCTGACTTCAGTGTATGTATTAAAAGTTTGGAGTTTAAATGTGTTTTTGATTCTATATGTTGGCTTCATTCATTCTGAACTCAAATCTTATGATTCCCAGCTTCTACTCAAAGATTGTTGCAAGATTCTATTTCTTACAGCACCTGGCTTATATGCACAACTAGTGTATTTTGCTCTACACATCAATAAATCATTTACTTTATATGTCACTATCGTTTGATTTTTCCCTGAATGTTATTGTTATTCAAATGGAAAAAAGCAATTTATACTGAACTCCCTCCTTTATATTCACGTTTCCACATAATCTGCATGCTTAATTTTGTCTTAATTGAAGATGACAGACAAAGATCAGAATAAAGGAAAAGCTTCTAAGAGTCATCCAACATTACAACTTGCTAGGCGTCTATCAGAGATGACTTCTCAAATTGCACCATGTGCTTCATCACATGCATTATCTCATTCTACTGATCTGCCTGCTTGGACATCTGATGTGATACCTCCACCTTCAGTACAAGGGGTACACTCAGCATGTACTGCACAACCATCAAATCCAGATGCAGGATGTACCCTTGATGTTGCCCCAGAGAAGAAAAGTGCTATTCTCAGAAAACTTGATAGACAGCAGGTAATGTTGTTTATTTCAGGGCTTCGCTCTTCACAGTTTGATGGGCTTAACTTTGTATGTCTTGAATCACAATCATTACTGTTATTAATCTTTTTATTTTTATTTTCATTACTAGTTTGAATCTCCAGTTTGGTGTAATGCATTGAATGTGTCTCTATAATATTATTTCGAATGCTATAGAAATGGTGGTTTCAAAAGCCGCATGGACTCTTAATTTGCAAACAACCTTAGTTTTCATTTGGAGATAGCTCAAGTTAAATTAAAAAAAAAAAAAAAAAAACATAAATCTTGGCTGGATTAATGGCTTGAAGCAAGGATGTTAGGTAATATGAATTGGTTTGGGGGACTTGGGTTTACGACTGACATTAAAAGGGAATTTTCATCTTTAGGTTGTTGTATGAATGGTTTAGATATTAAAAAGTTATATGTGTAATGGTGCATGAATATGCTGATTGTTTTATTCTTGGCTTGCTCTTTGATTCTACTGGTCTCCTTCATCTTTGTATTACTTGTAAAATATAATGCTTATTGTTGAATTTTTTAACTCTTTAGTGAATAATTAAGACTGAATACTTTTCTTCATGTTTTTCTCATTCTTGCAAGAAATAAGCTCGCTTGTGAAGTTGATGGATTGCATGCATCACTATATAATTTCTGCTGGATTTTCTTTGCATTTTATTATTATTTTTTATGATTTACTCCTGTGATTTCATTATCAGATTTTAGTGCATAACTGTGGGGGTTAAAACATGTTTTAATTCTACATGCTTGGCTTCACGCAATGTCAACTCAAACGTGTTATCAGAACAGATGATATAAGTTACATATTGGGTCTATTTGTTCAAAATTAAAATAAGTGTTTCTGAAATAAGCAAATTTTTAAAATAAGTGTTTTTTCAAATAAGCAGGTTAGACAATCACATAAAAAAACATAAAGTTGCTTAATTTATTAAAAAAAAAACACTTTTTTTAGACAATCACAAACAAACCAGCCCATTATGTTTCTTTGTTTTGAACAGTTTTGGCTATTTCCCCCCTTTATTGGGACAAATCTGCTACTGCTATGGCCAAATCTTGGCTGTCTGTTAGTAGCTGAGTTTTAAGGACTTAATTTTATTGCACCAGTGGATAGAACGCAGAAGATTATCTTGTTTACAGTTCAAATTAGCTAATGAATTTTGATACTCTATACTCTCAATTTGAAATATGAGGATTGAGAGTCTAATTTTAGTGCTTTCTTGTTTTTGTTTTTGTTTTTGTTTTATCAATGGCTGATGGTGGAATACGGAGGAAGGCCAAACTTCCACCATATAAACATGCCAATGCAGCCTATAAAAAATTATATGAGCAATTGTCTTTTATTTATTTTTATTTTTTTATGATAGGAGTGTTTTTTAGCAAAAAATAGGTGATAACTTACTCTCTTTACTCATACTGAATATGTGACAGAGAATTGTCCAAGTTTTGTCTGAGACAGAAAAATTAATTTTTAATTACATGGTTGAGGAGTGTTTGACAAGTATCAAAGGGGTATCCGAAAAGTGTCAGATCTGCTGATAAGCTGTTGCACAGAAGTGTCTATGTCTCCTGGCTGATAATACTCATTCATTCAAGCACAAGTTGACTAATACTTGTTCTTTTGATGCGATATCTCTGTTCCATTAGGAAGTAAAACATAATAATACTAAGTACACTGGGTAAAATTTTAATGGTTTAAGTCCAACAGATGCAGTCCCAGCTTCTACTCCTAGATTGTTGTAAGATCCTATTTGCACCTGTCTTGTATGCACAAATGCATTATCTTCTAAAACATCAGTCTTTTGATTTTGTTTTCCTTGAATTTTCTTGATATTCAAATGGCAAAGAAGCAATTTATAATGAACTCTCACCATTATAATCATGTTCTGAACATAGTCTGCATTGTTAATTTTTGCAGATGGTAGACAAAGTTCAGAATAAAGGAAAAGCTTCCAAGAGTCATCAAACAAAACGACTTACTAGACGTGTTGCAATGATGACTTCTGAAATTCCCCCATGTGCTTCATCACATGCCATATCTCCTCCTACTGATCCACAACCAAGATCATCTGAGGTGATACCTCCTCCTTCAATACAAGGGTTACACTCACCAAGTACTTCACAACCATCAAATCCAGATGTAGGATGTACCCGTGACACAGCCACGAAGAGGAGATCTGTTCGCAGGAAGTTTGTTGGTCAGCAGGTAATGCTTATCATTCTTCATTTAATGGATCTTGATGATCTGGGGCATCCTCCTTCATAGTTATGATGAGCTTAAATTTTTACATGCTTCAATCACTGTTATTCCTCTTGATATTCTTTTAATGATCAGTTTGAATCTCAGTTTTGAGTAATGCCTTGAGTGGGTGTCTATATTTGAAGGAAATTTTGCTTCTTATTTTGTTGTATGGATGGACTACATTAAATTAACGTCTGTGTGTAAATTAAACATGAATATGGCAATTTTTTTTTTTTCATTTGAGTTGTTTGTGATTCTATGTCTTTACAGTTTTTACATGATGCCTTTTTTGGGATGTAATGCTTATTGTTTTAATTTTGATGATTGTATAGAAGCCGGTAAGCCCTGTTGTAGCAGTAAAGTTGTGTCTTGGTAACGGGCAGGTCATGGGTTTGAATATGGAAACAAACTCTTTGCATATGCGAAGGTAAGGTTGTTACGATGACCCTCCTCCATACCTTCGCATATTGAGGAGCCTTTTTGGCACTGGGGTACCTTAGTTATTTATAGTTGAACTTGTGAATTTTTTATTGATTTCCGCAATAGTTAGCATACATGTTGTCGTCAATTTAAAAAAAAGGTTAACAAGAAAATGTTTTTTAGAATTTGTTCATTGAGGCTATTAAAAATTTCTATTTTATAAAATTTCATAGCAGGAGATTTATCAATGAAATTACATAGCTTTCGTTGTTGAAAGGTATGGCTTAATTTCTGTGTGCTATTCTAGGTTTGTTGAGTTTTGTGACACAAGGGCTACTTTTCTTTTTGAATGATTATAAACTGGTTTGAGTCATTTGAAATGGGTCATATGAATAAATTTGTATTTTAAACCTCGTTTCTGCATGCTATCAAACTTTGAGCAATCCTTACTCATTTTGAATGTTGTTTATTTGGTACCTTGAAGATACAACTTTCAATCCTTACTTTTCTTCTTACTTGCCCAAATTTGATGAAAATTCGGCACGCCCCATGTGCTGATAACATTCATCCATTGATGCCATAGTTGACATGTACTTATCCATTTGACGCAATATCTGTCCCAATAGGAAGTTAAGAGTTAGACGTACATTGGGTATATTTTTCATGGTTTAAGTCGAATAGATGGAATCCCAGGTTCTACTCCAATATAGTGGTAAGATCCTGTTTCTGACAGTCCCTGTCTTGTATGCATAAATGCGTATTGTTCTAGTCATCAATAATTCATTTACCTTTATCTGTCCTTTTTTACTTTATATTCAATAAATGTTAGTTATTCAAAATGGAAAACAAGTAACTTATAATGAACTCTCACCCTTTTTTTATCATGTTCTCAACAGTCTGCATCACTAATTTTGTGTTAATTACAGATGGCAGAGAAAGTTCAGAATAAAGTAAAAACTTCTAGGAGTAATCCAACAAAACAACGTGCAACATCTCTAGCACCAATGACTTCTCAAAAGCCACCTTATGCTGCACAACCAACAAATTCAATGGAAGGGGCACACTCACCTACTAGGACATCTGATGTATCAACTCCACCTTCAATGGAAGTGGTACACTTGCCTCGTTCCTCACAACCAACAAATTCAGATGCAGGACATACTGGTAGAACATTTGTTGCATTAGAGACGCAAAGCAATGATGCCAGGCCAATTTTATACCTTGATGGGCAAGGGTATGTTTTTCTACTATGTTACTTATTTGACATTGGCATTTTGAAATTGTAACATACATGCAATATTGGCAGATTCTTACCCTCTCGCCCTGCTGCTAATGTGATTGGGGATATCCTTAAGAGGCATTTTACTGATCCCTGGCCATCATGGAAGAAGATACCAATTAGCAAAAGAGACTCGTGGTTTGAAGAGTTTCTAGTTAAGTTTCTTATGTAAATTATTATGTATAATTTGGATATGTATTTAGTCTACTTTTATATAACTTGTTTGCGTGTATATATAGGAAAAGTTCTCTGTTTGTCCACCTGATCATAATCGGGCAAAAAAGAATTTTGAAACACGAGGTTCAGTATTGCTGAAAAACCATCTAAATAAGGCTCGATCAACGATGTACAAACCGAATTGGATTAAAGATGGTGTCTGGGAAAGATTGTGCGAGCACTGGAGATCTGAAGGATTCAAAAAGAAGAGCACCCAAGCAAAATCAAATCGTTCATCTAATTTTGGAGCGGCTCACACTGGGGGCTCTATTTCTGCTTCACAGCATAGAGCTAATATGGTTAAGTTGTCCATTAATTTAATTTAGTTAATTTTTTATCTCATGATTTAGTGTAATAGTATCTTCGTTTAACTTAAAAACTAACATGTATTCTTTGTTCTGTATTAGATGAAAGAGACTGGAATCCCTCCTACTCCATTGGAGTTGTTTTGTCGCATGCACCAACGTAAGAACAAAACATGGGTGGATAGTAGATCGCAACATATAAATGTAACGAACTTTGACCTTTATAATCATGTAATTGTTTATGTTGTTGTATTCTATTTTTGTTTGTTGTGAAACACTCATTAGGCTAATTTGTGACGATAGGAGGCATTTACACGCACATTGAAACAATTGACCAAAAGAGCATCTGCACAGGGAAAACCTGCACCAAGTGAGTTAGATGTGTGGTGTGATGTAGCCAGATCCAAAAAAGGAAAAGTATATGGGCTTGGAATGGAATCTACAGAAATTGCAACAAGTCATTGCTGTCATTGCCCATCTTCTTCATCTATGGAGTGGGTGAAAAAACAAGAGTTTGATGAATTGACGAAAGAGATGGAAGAAGTTAGAAATGATAGAGATAAGCTTCAAGCCAGAGTTGCAAACACTGAGAGGCTTCTTGAGCATAACAACGCATTGATACAAGAATTGATGGAGAACATGAGCATGCAATCTCCTATGGAGTAAAGTCAAGATGAAGATGATGAGGATTAACTAAGTGAACCATTAGCGAATCATTGTACTTTGGATGTTAGTATGTTAAATTCTAACCTTGTCAAATGTTTTACTTCATTGGGTTGTATTTTTGTGAATGTCTATTAGGTTTATATAAAGCAATGTATTTTAATTTGTTTGTATTTTTTTGTAAGTGTCATACACTTCATTAAATTTTGAAATGTTATTTCACTTGAGTGTCTATTAGGTTTAAAAAATAAAATTGTGATATATTTTAATTTTTTTTTCAAATTACAAAAAGATGGCAGCCTTCGTGGCATGTACTTTTTAATCGGTGGAATTAGTTGTTAACTCAGTAACTAAATATATTATTAAATTACCAAAGATTCTTATACAACATTTTAACATTGGGTGTTAAATAATCAAGAAAAAAGATCTTTAAATCATTATTTTGAATTTTACTTTTTGACAACGTTCCCTAAAATTTGACATCAACATAAAAAATTAAATTAAAATAGAATAATATATATATATATATATATATATATATATATATATATATATATAAAATTTAACATGGGAACAAGATACATACGTTTCAAAAAATTTCCCTAATTCTACTCCCGTTGATGTAGCACAGTACTAATGACTTTGTTTCATCATAACACTCATGTACTGATTTATGACACAAGCTAACCACGTACAAAAATATGACTTTATCTTTATCTTAAAATTTTTGAAATTTTCTCATACTTATATTATTTTATTTTTATTTTTATGTCTCTGAAACTTTCATATATATTTGAACCCAAAAGTAATGTGTTACATGTTTTATCAAAATATAAATCTCTTGAGTAAAACTTGTTTTTGGTATAGATGAAATGAAGTAGACATTGGAAGGTGAAAATGATAAGAGGTAAGAAGAAAACAAATGAGATTTTTGGTAAAAATAAAATAATCAAATAAGAAAAATATTAACATGATTTTCTTAGATAACCTTATTTATATTTTGGTTTTTTTAGTTTGTTTAAGCTGAGAAGAGAAGTTTTATATAATGATAATTTTATTTTAGTATTTTTTATTATAAAAAATTATATTATTTTTTAATAAAACATGTAAAAAAAAATTCTACCGGTTAATGCAAAGAAGAAACATTACGATAAGAAAAATAGTTTATTTTTTATATTTGATAAGAATGATTTTATCATTTGATGTTCTCAATTAATGATAGTTAAAAAAAATTAAAAAAAAACTTAAATCTACATATTTAAAGAGATAATATATTAAAAAGTTTAATATAAAAGAATTAGGATCAACGAAAAATTTAAAGAATATAAAAGATACAAATATTATAAACCAATTTATTTTTTAAGTACGAGTCCTAAAATAATAAACACAAAGATGAAGAAAATCTCATAATACAACAAGCATCAATCATCAATGATGGAAATTTTTCTATATGTTTTAAAATTTATACAAGACAAGTAGATTAATTGCAAAAATTTATACAAGATAAGTAGATTAATTGCAAATTTTAGCATAGATAATTAAAAACGTTATTAAGATGATCTTAAGTGTTACATTATGTTTTAGAGGATTAAAATTATTTATAAAAAATTATAATAATTCATATTTGTATATTATGTGTTACTTATAAGTAAGACACCAAATTAATTATCCAATTTATTAAATTTTATGATTTTGTTTATTAGAGAAATGGAGTACATAATAACTATCTAACACATGCAAAAAAATTATTTAGATTAAAAAAAATAAAAGAGGATGTTTACCAAGTCAACATAAGATTGTTATATATGTAATAATTAATATATATTCCAAACTAAAAAAAATTATATATTTCATTATAAGATAAAACCATGAGAGTTATTTCTAAGAATTGTTTAATGAAACGTTTAAATAAAATATTAATTACTTTGGTTTAATGAGATGTTTAAATAAAATATTAATTATTTTGAGTAATTTTTTATGAAAGGAATTCTAGGTAACATAACAAGATGTTTTATTTTTATTATATAGTTGATTCATTAATCAAATTATAAAAATAAATAAATATAAGTAAATGAAGAGAGAGAATCAGTTATTTAAAATGTATCAAGAAAATTTTTATTTGAGTAAAATTAATGAATAAGTTGTTTAAAAATATATGTTAACAAACCTATATTTTGCATTTTTTTTAAGATCTCAAGAAGAAATAAAATAAAGAAATATAAACTAAATTAGTATTACTAAGTTGACAGGAGATCCTATTTTAATTTATAAGAACAATCCTATGTTAATTTATTAAAAAATATATAATATAATTAACAAAGAATAAAACATGATATTATATTTGATTAATTTAATATAAGTGAGAGAATATAAAAAAATATAAAAAATAATAAATTATTTAAGAATATTTTGGTAGAAAAAGAATATTAAAATGATAAAGATATTAATAAAAAATTAATAAATTTATTAAAAATAATAAGAATTAATGTTTATATCGATTTATATAGTTAAATCTCTTATATTTTGAAAAAAAAATATAATAAAGTTATTTAGATAATTTTTTTAATTTATTAATAATAATAATAATAATAAATTTTTTCTCTTGTTTTCTTTTCTTTTTGTTTTTTTCAGTCGATGAAATTTACACTCTAATCCAAATAAAGCCACGATTAGGTTTACTCAATTCAAAACATAAAAGAAGCCACCCATTGATGTTATTATGTAGAAATTTTAAAAAATTATAATAGAATTTCAATTGATTATGTACAAAGAGAATAAATTAAATTAACTTCCTTTTATACGTGATGAGTTATGGAAAAAATGAAAATTATATTTTTAATTTCAACCAACCCAGAAATTCATCATATTTCTATCCTTTCTATCCTTTTTCCTATTTTCATCTACTATATATTTTTTGTCATTAATCTTTCCTAAACAAAGCATAATAGAAGAGAAAAATAAAAATACATTTCTTTATTCTATCTTTTATCATCAATTCTCGCACAATTTTTACAATATCTTTTTCGTGTCTATTTCTTTCTTGTCGTTGAACATGTTCTTTGTCAATCACTAAATTTTAAATCCCAATAAAAATTAATTAATTAAATAAAAATAAATAAATAAATAAATATATAATGAGCAGTTACTCAAATAAAAAATCATAATTAAAACCCTGATCGTAAATTCGTCTCAGAACAGAACTTATCTCAGCCACCCTGTCTTCTTGCATAAGCGTTCCCTAATAAGGTTTAAAAATCACTGCTTTACTACGATGGGTTTTTTCCTTTTCATTGTTGCCCACACTACGTCTGTGTTTATACTCTCTCCCTCTTTTTTTTTTTTTTTCTCTCTTTTCTATTAGGGGTGGCAGAAAGGTGATGAGGTTGCGGATTTGAAAATTTTGACGGCAATTTCTCAGAAGTTGAAGAAGTAGTTGGGATTTGATATGGCACGAAGGAAGAGTAGTGCTCACAAAAAGTTAACTAAGCGCCAGGTAATGTAACGCCTTTTTTTTTTTCTCCATTCAATCAGTTTCATTCATTTGGGCCTTCATCCATCACAGTTATCATTGGTTCTAGTGCATGTTTTTTAATCACTGCCGTTTCTGTTATCCTCTTCTTTTTAGTGACTAGTTTGTGTATCAGGAATGGTGGATTTGAAAGCCCCATGAACAGCCATTTGGGCCTTGCACATGTCTTTACGTTGTTCTGTTGTGTCTGTATGCTATAGGAATGGTGGATTTGAAAGTCCCATGAACAGCTTTTAAGTTTGTTTTCTCTAGTAACAGTTAATTTTTCTGTTTGTCTAAGACAGTTAATGATCAAGTTGGTTTTAGGTGCTGGAAGGTGAGATGGTTGTATATATTTGGCTTCTATGATTATGGTTTCTGTTAAGTGAAGTTTTTAGATCGAAAAATGTTAGTTGTTAATATGATTATTTTATTAGCGGGAGATTTGAATTCACGATGTATCCCTCCCTTCCTTCCAGTTTTACCACCAAACCAAGCTAGGTCATAAGGCAATATGATTTGGTTTAAAAGACTTGGGTTATGGCAGACTTTCATGTGATTTTTCTTCTTTATCTTGTTGTAAGAAGCCCTGGATGGTGAAAGTTTATTAACTTCTTTGTGTAATTGTGCTTGAATGTTGTGATGGTTTTAAGTCATAAGTTTGGTTTCAAGTTTGAAAATTGAGGTTTTATGGTGCTTTGTATGCAGAACTATTGAATTGTACCCATTTTATGATCAGATTCTCAATCTTTGCTTTTATATGTGGCTGTTTAAGAAGTTTTTTTTCCCATGAAATCTTACAGCAGGGCATACATCGATGGACTTAGATAGTTTGGTAATGAGCAAGATTACTATTGAATTGTACCCATTTCATGATCAGATTCTCAATCTTGGCTTTTTATAAGGCTCTTAAATAAGTTTCTTTTACATGAAATCTGATAGCAGGACATACATGAAATAGTAAGTTGCGGCATGACTTTGGTTGTTGAAAAGTATATGAATTAATTTTCATGTGCTATGAGGTCCTTTGGGTGATTGATTATTCATGACAAGGTTTTTTTCTTTTTATCTGTAACATTTATTCATTTAAGCACAATGCAAGATCTTTACCAATAGGAAGTTAAGACGTAAAGGCACATTGGGTAAATTTTAATGGTTTAAGCCTAAATGATGTTGTCTTCCCTTCTATGCCACGATTGTGGTAAGATCCTATTTCTTACCGCTTATCTTGTGTGCATGAATTCATTTTGTTATAGTCATCAGTAACTCGTTTACTATATTTGTCCCTTTAAATTTTTTTCTGTTTTCATTTTGTGAATGTTATAGTTATTTGAATGGAAAACAAGCAATTTATAATGAATTATCATAATTGTAATTATGTTCTCTACATAGTCTGCATGGTGTTAATTTGCAGATGGTGCTGGCACAGAAAAATCAGATAGAAGGAAATGATTCCAAGGGTCATCCAACGAAACAACGTACTAAACGTCCAGTGCAGATGACTCTACAAATTCCACCATGTCCTTCGTCACATGCAACACCTTGTCCAACTGATCCACTTGTGGGGACATCTGACGCTAGAGATCCACCTTCAATTCAAGTGGTGCACTCACCACATGCTTCGCGAACAGCAAATTCTGATGCTGGACGTACTTTTAGATCATCTGTTGCATTAGAGACACAAAACAATGATGCCAAGCCAATTTTATACCTTGGTGGACAAGGGTACTTTGTTCTACTTTTGTTACTTATTTGAGTTTTGTTTTTTATACTTGTGACCATTTATATTTAATGTTTGCAGATTATTACCTTCACGCCCTGCTGCTAATGAGATCGAGGATATCTTCAAGAGTCATTATAGTGATCCCTGGCCATCATGGAAGATGATACCAATTAACACCAGAGACTTGTGGTTCGAAGAGTTTTTGGTTAAGTTTCATATGTTGATTATGATGTTTAATTTAGATCTGTACTTCTAGTCTACTTTTAGCTAACTTGTTTTCTTCTTTATATAGAGAAAATTTTCAATTTGTCCACCAAATTATGATTGGGCAAAAAAGAATTTTGAAATACAAGGTGCAACGGTAATGAAAAATATTCTGAATGAGGCTCAAACGACAATGAATAAGCCAAATTGGATCAAAGATAATGTTTGGGAGAGATTACGTGAATATTGGAAATCTGAAGAACTAAATAAGAAGAGCACCCAAGCATCTGAGTATGGAGGCTTTGGAGGGTCATTTTACACTGGTGGCTCTTTTACCACATCTGAGCACAGAGCTAATATGGTTAAGTTGTCACTTAATATACTTCATTGTATTGTTTATCTTAAATTTAATGTAATAGTCTTTTACCTAAAACTAACTAGTTGTTTTATTGTATTCGTTCTGTTTTAGACTGGAACCCTTCCAACGCCATTGGAGTTATTTCATCGCATGCGTCAAAATAAGGACAACTCATGGGTGGAAATACAGGTAGGTATTTGAGTGTAAGCTCATTAGACCAAGCGGTGTTCGGAAGTTAGGAACAACTAAAATGTCAATCCATTTAAACATAAGCTTATATTGCCTGTTCTGGTTAACTCTTAACTTAAAAGGATTGAGTCATAGAGTTAATGGGCCAGCTTGCAGATTAATTACTTTTTTTAATATTATTTATTGTTTTAATTTCATTAGCGTATTTGGGTAATTAGTAGGTATTTGATTAGCATATGTTGACATCTTTCTTTGTATTTCAATATTTATAATTTATTGATGTAAAATGTTAGGGATGTTGAGTTTTTCTATGCTTTTATTTGATGTTTGAGTGATATAGTAATTGTTATGGTGTTTGTTTATTCTATTTTTGATTGTTATGAAACACTTATTTGATTTATATTGATGATGGCAGGAGGAATACACCCGCAGATTGGAACATTCGACCAGAAGTGCATTTATGGAAGGAAATCCTCCACCAAATGAGTTGGATGTCTGGTTTGATTTACTTAGAACGAAGAAAGAGCAAATATATGAGCTTGGAATGGAAGGAAGGCCTTACTCTCATGCCTCATCTTCCTCAACGGAGTGGGTAAAAAGACAAGATTTTGATGAATTAAGAAAAAAGATGAAAGAAATTAGAAATGATGGAGATAAGCTTCAAACAAGGGTTGCAAATATTGAGAGGCTTGCTGAGCACAACAATGCATTGATACAAGAATTGTTGGAAAGTATGAAAAGGCCATATGAGAATGAGATAGAGTCACTTTAAGTCATTCATAGGGACTCTGATACTGATTTACCTTAAAGGTAAATATTTCTCATATGGCAAATGTTTTGTACTAAGGATTAATGTTTCATATATTGACCTTATCAAATGCTATATGTGTATTTGGTTATATGTTTATCATGTTCATACATTTTATTCTATTCGGAATTTTGAGATACTACTTCATATGTCCATTAAGTTTGGACAGTAGAAATTGGATATATTTGAAACTGTCTTAAAATAAAGAAGTGATTAATTCTTTTAAACAACCAATAAAATTTCTCGTTGAAGTAGCCACAAAAAATTTATAGATCAATTTCTGAATCAATATTTGACACTGGTTGCCAATTTATTCAGTTTTCTATCTCAAGTTTTATGTAGACATGCTTTGGTTTTGTGGGAGCGATAATATCTAATCAGTTTCATAATAGAATTGTTCTGTCATAAATTATTTCTCTGCCTTTTTTTCTTTTAACAGATAGAGTTGAAGCAAAATAGCTAAGAATCTTGTTTCATACCATCTTCTTTAAGAAAATCAGACAAATAATTATTTTTTCTCAGGTTTTTTTTTTAGAAAAAAAAAATCCTTTGAACATTATCACTGAGGGACATTCTCCAAATTTATTGCCCTACAGCTTCTTCTTGTAAACAGGTCAAGCGACATGCTTTATGGAAGAATTTCAGACAGACACACTCAAATATTTCTCATTTTACAAATGTAATCAAAGAATAATCAAATAATGGTTAACGCAAACAATTATTCTTATAATTTGACCCAGTTTGATTTTTTTTTTCTTTATCGTAGTCAATTTATTGGATATGTGATTCATACATTTATATGCATTTAAACCTTGATTCCTAACTCCTACCAAACCTTAATGCTTAAAAATTATAGATCATAAATAATGTCAATATGCTTCAAGAGCTAGAAGTATTATCGTTTAGTAAATGAAGCCACATTCATTGTGGTAGTACATTCTAGGAAAATAAGCTTAATTAGGATAGTTAGCACATGGCATGATTTCTTGGTAATGAACAAAAGGAATCAAGCACAGTCCATTTGGTCTTCTGGCAGTTAAACCGTAGGATTCACTCATGTCAAGTTCTTCATATTTGATTCCAATAGGCAGCCTCCAATCAAAATGGTAAATCAACTGAGCAAGTGGCAACTCAATGTCAGCTATGGCAAATGCAATGCCAGGACACATCCTCCTTCCAGCACCAAATGGAATAAACTCAAAATTAGTCCCTTTGTAATCTATTGAGCTATCCAAAAACCTCTCAGGCTTAAATGTCTCAGCATCAGTCCAATACTTGGGATCTCTTCCAATAGCCCAAGCATTGATGAGGACCCTTGTCCTTGCAGGAATGTCATATCCATTGATCTCACATTTTTCCTTGCTCTCTCTAGGAAGCAACAGTGGTGCAGGAGGGTGTAGCCTCATTGTTTCTTTGATAACACATTTCAAGTATGTCAATTGGTTCAATTGTGTCTCATCCACACACCCTTTGCTGTTAAACACCCTTCTCACCTCAGCTTGTGCCTTTTCCATCACCTTTGGATTTCTCACCATTTCTGACATGGCCCATTCCACAACTGCTGATGATGTTTCAGTTCCAGCACTAAAGACATCCTGCAAATTAATAAACCAAGAAACTCTCATAAATTGTATCAATAGTAGACAATTCATTGAAAAAAAATGTGTTGCCAATGTTCTCTATTTTTCCTTTTTTTTCTTTTCTATCAATACTTATGTTGATGTCATGGGGATGTGGTTAAGAAAATGTGGCCCCTGCGAGAAATTAAATTGTTATTTCTTTTTGGAAAGTTCTTTAACACGAACAAAGGGTATTAATAAATATAAAAACAAAAAAAAGGGTAATAATTAATTTCAATTTAACTTATTTTAGTTAAGTGCGCCTAAAACAGCATGCTTCCATGGTGGCTTCTAACTGGGCGAATCTTTTACTTCTAAATCCCCTTAATGAGCCTTTTCTCTTGCAAAATATCACTTAAATTCTATATTTTAAAGTAATTTTAGACAATATTAAATGAAATTGAGTTGATTGAATTCATCAGAGTTGAAACTGCTCGCTAGTTTTCTTCATTCATAATATTCAAAGTCGTCTTCTTTAATTATGGGAACCAAATCACCACACATTGTGTAACATAAATCCAAACTCTTCTGGTATAATGCATGTATTTTAAGAATAATACGTCTTCACATACATGCTGAACAGTATGACACATTGATAAATATGAAGGAAAATAATCAGAATTGAACTGGGTGACACCTTCAGCAATGTGCATGTGAAAACTAAAGATAACAATAGCAGAAGATCTCAGATGTTAGAAAAATAATAAACTTTAGAGTTTAGGTGGCATATATAGATAATAGATGTTAAATATAAGGCATGTATTAATTTAAGATTATGGCATAAACATTTACTAACCAGGATGACTGCTTTAACATTTTCATCAGTCAAAGGATGGTCCAGGGGAATGTTGTTGTTTGGCTGTTGATAGTCTAATAGAATATCAACCAAATCCTTTTGATCAGTTTCATACAAGTGGCCTCTTTTCTTTGTTTTGTGATCTTCAATGATTTTGTCCAATATCTCATCAGTCTTTCTGAACAATTTTTCAGATTTAGCCTTCACCACGCTGAACATTTGAAGCCATGTAACGGAAGGATAGAGATCAGCAACACAAAGTCCTCCAGCAAGGTATATAGCTTCCTCAATCAAGGATATCAACTCTTGCTGGTGCATGCACTTCTCACCAATGGCTGCTCTAGCTGTTATTCCGTATGTGAGTGAGTAAATCTTCTCACTGATATTCACAACCAACCCTTCTCTTGAAGATATTTCTTTAATGAATGTTGACACCTCCTCTTCCCTTATGGACCTGAAGCATTGCACACGCTTTGAGGCCAATAGCTCTTCTGTGCACATCTTTCTTAGTTGCCTCCAATAGCTTCCATAGGGAGAGAAGGCAATGTCCTTGGCATTGTAAGCAATTTTGGAAACCAGAATTTGTGGCCTATTGGAAAAGATGATGTCATGTGTTTTCACAATCTCTTTGGCCATTTCTGGTGAAGAAACTATAATGTTTGATACCTCTCCTAGTTTTAGGTGCATCAAGGGTCCATACTTGCTGGCCAAGTTTCTTAGAACATGATGAGGCAGAGATGAGCCAAAAAGTTGGTGTAAGTTTCCTATGAGAGGAAGCTTCCATGGCCCTGGGGGCAAATTAGAGGTGGAACTCTTGGATTTTGATATTTTCATTATTTTATATAACACTAGGAGAAAGAAAAAGGTAAGAAAAACATGGAGAATAAAAAAATTATCCATGGTGAGGTGAGGAGGAACCTAAGAGAAATGCTTGATATGTGTGAAGTTATAAGCACATAGAGAATTGAAGATAGTGAGCATAATATATAATGAACTACTGAAATGCAAAATCTCTTATCTATTATTTAGTTTTCTTTTTGTGGTAACTGCTGTAATTGTGAACTTTGGTTCTTGTTAGGATTCCAAGGTTATCCACACAAGTTTTGATTCCTTATATAGACAATGATATTAATTATCAGTTTGAGACTTCAACACACTATAATCTTCTTGTGCCTCATAAAAAAATGTTCTGCAGAACTTAAACCTAAGTCTTGTACATGTTTGATACCTTATTTCATGGTTTGAGACAACATAACTCAGACCAATCTTAACCTAATATGTAATCACATTTTTTAATTTCTGAATAAGAATTCTTAATGTGATGCACAAAGATTGGCTAGAACCATGCAATATTTATGATATAATAGTTTCTGTATAAGCTTAATGTGCATTGTAAACCCAGTCACAACCATTGATGTAATTAATTTGTCAATGCTACAGAATTTAAATTTCAAAGATCATGTAAAATGTAGTAACTACAAATTATTCTCTGTAAATAAAATGGAAATTATTCTTGGTGAATGCGGCCTTATTGGGGGAGATAATGTAGCAATTTTGGCAAGTGCAGTTACTATCGCAGGCTTGAAAATCATCCATATATGAAAAATTCTTTTACCTAAAGGAATAATTGTTAATTTGGTGTTCCTTGACGTGCAAGATTTTTACTATTGTTCATCTTCATCCATCAATATAACTGTTTGTGATAACTAAACTAGAAAAGTAAAGATGGTAATATGGTGATGCAATATTGTGAATGTAAAAGTGTAGGTAAAGAAATATATTATTCCATTTTTTTTTGTCATTTAATTTCTTTTGAAGTAGTAAAAAGAGTAAAAAAATTTCTTGACTTTAATAATTTTTTTTAATCTTCTTTTTTTCTATATCATAATAAATTGCACATAAGTAAATTATTTACAAAATTAGGTAATAAATAAGGATATATATATATATATATATATATATATATATATATAAAATAAAGAATAATAAACATTGTCTTAAACTTTCAAAATGACAATTAGATACATATATTTCTGTTTCAAAAATTCGATAATCAAAAGAAATAGATTAATTAACTTATAGCCTGGTGTACATCAGTAATCAATGGACATGAATCATGATTAACTGTCATCCCAATAAAATAAATTAGTTAAGAAGTGTTATTTTTAATTAAATATCAATATTTATATGTTTAAGTGCAACGTTTTTTTCATAATGTCTTCAAAATTATATAAACAGTAATAGTTTCAGGGCTCATGGTTTACATAATTAGAAAATGTACATTTCATTAAACTTAAACTTTCGGACTATGGAAGAAATTGGATTCTATTTTGAAATTTATCTTCTGAAGTGTGTTTAATACTGTTCCAGGTATACATTCCGTAACACTCATAATTTATTTATTAATGTGTAATCTACAAGTTTTTCTAATGTATTCCGTATAATATTTTTCAAAATGTATCAACAATCATAAAAATTTTCATTCATCAAATTTAATTATAGGATACAAGAAAAAGAATATGGGTGTACCACAATGGAACTACCTTTAAAGAAGGCTTGCTATATTTATGCCACTCACTCCAAAATGTATGCAATTCTATCACTTCAAAACAGATACCCTAATGAAGAAAACAAAACTTTCTGGAGAGTTTTACTCGACTCCTTCTAGCTCCATTCAAATTAGTCAAGATTCAATTTAACTCATAGTTAACAATAATCCAAGACATCCCCTAACAAATAAACCTAATCATATGTTTAACTGTAAAAGTAGTGCATCACTTTTTTTTTTTGTTCTCACACATCTTCCAAAGGTAACTGTCACAGAAACTCAAGATAGTTAACACCTAACTCCTTAATGGATCAGTATCTATTATTAGAGTTTATTAGAGCACAGATAAATTTCTATTGCTAAAAGTTATAATTATAGATAATAATGGCTGTTTAAAGTTTTTATGGATAATTTGAATTTGATTTATATTTAGATTAAGAGGTGTAATTGTTATCAATTATAACTGTACTTAAAGATTGTGGACATGAATAAGATATAAGATCAGTTTTTAACCCTAGAAATATTGTGAAACCCAACACTTCAACTACTAGAACCAATCCTGGATTTGTTCAAGCAGTTCATCCTGTAAGTGAATGAGAAGTTGTTGCTATGATTAACTTTTAAATATAATCAACAACAAAAATCCTGCTATTTAAAAAAAACACCGATTTACCAAAACATTTCCCAAAACCTAAACATGTGATCCATACAACAAAATATTTCTGTGCTAGGGATTTTCATTACCCTACATCTATGTCCAGCCACTTTACCTTTTTGATAAGTTCAATCTTAGACTGGTTGCATCAGCTCTAGTTTCCCTATTGTTTGTAACAGGGAGACTATCCATATCAAATGAACCAGAAGATAAACTAGAACTGGAACTATCAGAGGAAGCCTCACTATCTAAGCCCTCCAAGATATTGATATTTGAGGAAACAAATTTTCTTTTCAGATTCCCAATGCGTTCGTTCGATCCTGTTAGAAGGTTTTTCTGGAATGCTGCTGGTGAACTTTGATGGCCATTGTCTATAATAGTACATGAAGTACTCTCTTTTCTGTCCAATGTTGCTTGTGGATTGCGCTCATCTTCAATTCCCAAATTTCCCCCTGCTGGCGTCAAAGAGAGAGATGTTAGTCCAACAGAAAGTATATTTGTCGATAAAAGAACACTTGTAAGCAGAAGCTTGGGAAATGAGGTCCAGTAGACTTTGTAACCCTAATGGAACATTTAAAATTTCCTGGTATTAATGAAAACTTCAGCCTTTGATCTTATGTAATTCAAGATCTACTCATTTTGTCAAGAGATATCTATTCTTTGATCCTTGTTGTGAGTGAAAGTATGTGTTCCCAATGTGGTATAGAGATGATGGTTTGTGCAGTCTAGTGATTAGTCAAACAGGTATCGGTGTTTGATGAAACTCACGATGGACCCATGTTTCAACTTGTACGGAGGATGTGTGATCCAATAACGGATTATTTGTCTTATAATTATTAACCGATAATGTTCTAATATTGCTAGAATTCGTTCTTCTTAGAAATAATAAAATACCTAATTCAACCTTATAAAACCAACTCAGGAAGACAAGGATTTTAGACTATAATATTATCATATATCTAAATGGAAAATTTTAAAGTTTTACCATCCAATACCTATAGAGGAATAATGAGATCATAGGTATGGTGGAAAACACACCAAAACTTTTGGAATGGAAGCATGATTGATGACGTGGGTGTGACTCACAACAATGACTACAAATGTTGAAGAGATTAAGAATGAAAGTTGGAACGTTTAATTTATGGAGAATTTGTAAGGAAAACAATTCAAATTTCTAACTTCAAATCTTAGAATGTTTTTTAAATAAAGATTACTATTCTTGTCATTTAGATTTTAAGATATTAATTCTCTTTTAAGAGTAGGATGCAACGTCTATAAATTTATGTTCTTGGGATGAGAATCACCCAACTTGAAAGAGGTAGTTGCCACACAAGTAAGATCACCTAATGGAGAAATTTTTCTCAAGTTTATCTCGAAAACTTGTAATCTTATTTGAGATAATTGACCTATTTGTATAAATTTGAATAGGAAAACAAAATAAGTAAGAAAAACTAAATAATAACAATTATACAAGAAGAAAATAAGTGGAAAACAAAACAAGAAAGAAAAATTTAATAGGTTTCCCGTTCACTTATCACAATAAGTCAAAAATAAGCTTTTAGAGACACAAATACAAAAGAACTTCTACAAGTTAATTATTCATAAACTAACTTTAGTTAATGGAAAATTTTATTTCTTTTTCTCTTTCTTATTTGTTTAGAATTTTATCAAAGGATTCAAATATATTTATTGAAATGTTCACGTGAATGTTGACAATAAGTGTTGAAACTGTTAAGGTTCCAACATAAAACCAATTGGCAATATGTGGAATAATCTAACATGTATTTAAATCATACCAAATTACATGAGATAGGCGATGTGGGACTTTCAACATGCCCCCTCCAACGAAGCCTGTCGGACCAGGCAAAGGGTACTTTTGACCCAACTAAAGGACAACTTTTGACCCATGACAATAACCGGAAAGATGTTAGGCTTTGGCTCTGATATCATGTTAAGATTCCAACATAAAGCCGTTGAATATAGAGAAAATAGGGTTTGGAATTAATTTCCCTTGTGTATAAATCATACATAGAGTGGGCTATTTATATTAGAGAGATACAACTAAAAGAGTAACTGAAAGTAACAGAATAAACAGAAGATATTGTTTGATATTGTGGTTACCAATATCTAACAATATCTTAACAATATCAAATAATATCTAAACAATATCTAACACTCCCCCTCAAGCTGGAGCATACAAATCGTATGTGTCAAGCTTGTTACAAATATAATCAATTCTAGGACTCCGTAAAGATTTAGTAAAAATATCTGCTAACTAATCACTTGAGTTAACAAACTCAGTCTTGATATCTCCAGACATAATCTTTTCTCGAATAAAATGACAGTCAATCTCAATGTGTTTGGTCATCTCATGAAAGACAGGATTAGAACTAATATGAAGAGCAACCTGATTGTCACACACAAGTGTCATTTGAGTGACATCTCCAAATTGTAACTCTCTAAGCAATTGCTTGAGTCAAACAAGTTCACAGGAAGCTGAGGCCATAGCTCTATGTTCTGCTTCTGCACTGGATCTTGTCACAACACTTTGTTTTTTACTTTTCCATGAGATCAAGTTACCACCAATGGAGACACAATATCCAGATGTAGATCTTCTATCCGAAGGAGATCCTGCCCAATCAGCATCTGAGTAGCAAACAACTCTTGTATGGTTATTAGAACCATATAACAATTCTTTTTCAGGAGATCCTTTAATATACTTCAAGATACGAATGACTCCATTCCAATAATCTTCACATGGTGAATTAAGAAATTGACTTACCACACTTACTGCAAAGAAAATGTCAGAACGAGTAACTGTAAGATAATTCAATTTTTCAACCAATCTTCTATACTGCTCAGGATCAGATATAGGCTCCCCCTGATTTGGTAGAAGTTTAGTATTGGGATCCATGGGTGTATCAACAGACTTTGAACTCATCAACCTAGTTTCCTCCAAAATATCTATGACATACTTCCTCTGAAATATAACAATACCATCATTGGACTGTGTCACCTCAATACCCAAGAAATATCTAAGTTTGCCAAGATCTTTGGTCTGAAAATGGTGACAGAGATGTTGTTTCAACTGAGAGATGACATGGTTGTCACTACCTGTAAGAACGATGTCATCAACATATACTATCAAGTAAACACATCCAGCACTCGAGTGTCGATAAAAGACAGAATGATCTGATTCACACCGAGTCATACCAAATTGTTGAACAATCTTGCTAAACTTTTCAAACCAAGCCCTAGGAGACTGTTTTAGGCCATATAGGGATTTGCAAAGACGACATACCATCCCAGAAGACTCCCCCTGAGCAACAAACCCAGGAGGTTGCTCCATATATATTTCTTCTTGCAAATCACCATTGAAGAAAACATTTTTAACATTCAGTTGATAAAGAGGCCATTGTTGAAGAGCAGCCATGGCGATAAATAAACGAACATAAGCCATCTTTGCCACAGGGGAAAAGGTATCGCCATAATCCAACCCAAAAATTTGAGTATAACCTTTGGCCACAAGACGAGCTTTGAGGCGATCAATAGTACCATTAGGTCCAACTTTGATAGCAAACACCCACCTGCAACCAACAACAGATTTTCCAGACGGTAACGAGACCAATTCCCAAGTTCCACTATTATGAAGAGCACTTAGTTCATCTAACATGGCCTGATGCCAACCAGGATGGGCTAAAGCTTCACGGACATTTTTTGGAATGGTCACAGAAGAAATAGAGGAAAGACATGTATAAAAAGGTAATGATAGTCGATGATAACTCAAAGCAATATAATGGGGAGAGGATTACGTGTAGAACGAATACCTTTTCGGAGGGCAATGGGAAGGTCAGACTCATGTGTCAGATCTGGAGGAGACAGAGTAATTGGCACTTGAGTAGAGTCACATGGTGGTGGTTGTGATTGGTTTCGAGAACTATAAATCTGAAGAGGCAGTGGAGAAGAAGCTGACTACGGAGCAGGAACTAATGGTAAAGAAAACACAGTTAGAGGGTTACAAACAACAGGAACATTAAATGTATAAGGAGTATTGACAAGATTAGATGGAGACAGAGGTGAAGATTGACTTTTAAAATAAAGAGACAACTCATCAAAGGTGACATCTTTTGACACAAAATAACGGTTAAGAGAAGGAGAAAAACATTTGTATCCTTTTTGTGATCTTGTAAACCCTAAGAAAACACATTTATGTGATCTAGGAGAAAGCTTGTCAAGACCAGAACTGAAATTATGAACAAAACATGTAGACCCGAAAACTTTTAGAGGTAATGAATGAAGTGGTTCATGAGGGAATAAAATGGAATGAGGTATTTTATTATCTAAAATCAAAGAAGGCATGCGATTAATGAGATAACATGCAATAAGAAGAGCATCACCCAAAAAATGTTGAGGAACATCTCCATGAATTAAAAGTGTGCGAGTTGTTTCAATAAGATGTCTATTTTTACGTTCAGCTACACCATTTTGTTGAGGTGTATAAGCACAAGAAGTTTGATGCAAAATACCGTGAGAAGCCATGAATTGTTTAAAAGAATGAGAAAGATATTCACGACCATTATCACTACGCAAAACTTTAATAGAACCACCGAATTGAGTTTGAATTTCATTAAAAAAAGTTTGAAAGATATGAAATAATTCAGAACGATTTTTCATCAAAAATAACCAAGTGCATCTGGAATAATCATCAATGAAAGTAACAAAGTATTGAAAACCTAAAGTAGACTTAACGCGGCTAGGTCCCCAAATGTCAGAGTGAACCACGGCAAAAGGGGACGAAGCACCACGTGTGAATCTACGAGGAAAGGAAATACGACTATGCTTGCCTAATTGACATGACTCACACGCCAAACTAGATAAGTTGGACAAGACAGGGACAAGTTTCTGTAACTTGGCAAGACTTGGATGACCTAACAGAGCATGAAGAAGAAAGGGAGACTCCATAACTGTACTAACATGTGTAGAGGGGCGGAGATAATAAAGACCATGAGACTCACATCCTGTGTCAATCACCTGTTTCGAACTCCGATCCTGTAAACACACAGAATTGTTGGTAAAAGTAACAACACAATCAAGAGAACGAGTTAGACGACTGATGGACAACAGGTTAAAAGAAGACTCAAGGACATAAAAAACATTATCAATGGTTAAAGAAGGAAAAAGTTTAACCGTTCCAACACCATGAGATGATACTCTAGAGCCATCAGCCAGTGTATCAGAATGTAAATGATTAGGAGAGGATAAAGAGGAGAACAAAGATTTGTTACCAGTAATATGATTAGTGGCTCCCGAATCAAAAACCCAAGGACCAGGAGAAAATGATTGGGTCAGACCAGCAAAATATGTATTTGTATGTGTGACAGATATAGTGGAACTAGAAGACGGTTGATCCTTATACCATTCGAGAAATTTGTTGAACATAGCAGGCATGTCGGATGCAATAGAAGAAGGAAGATCCCCTGTAGATAAAGGTGGGGAAAGATTGGTTTGAACAATTACAGCAAATTGAGGAGGACGACCATGAAATGTATAACACTTGTTAATCTTGTAACCTAGCTTGCCACAATGTTCACACTTAGGATGCCCTCTTTTCTGTTTGTGAGGGCGAACCCGGTCATCACGATGGGATGTCAACACAAAATAATCGTTAACAAAATTGAAAATAGTGGAAGAAGTCATGAAGAGCGGGAGAACAAACCCTAAAACAATTCAAAGTAATCCAATTAACCCACGAAGTACAAATCCAAAATTAGAATACTAAAAATAAGTTCGCCAAGACTAAACGGCGCAGGAGACAATAGGACGACCAACTCCGATAGTGGTGATCTCAATGGTACGGTGGTCACTTGACCGAGACAAGCAAAATCATATGTCACCGGTCAAAAAAAAAATGAAACTCCGACGAATTCTCCGGCAGCGGCGGATCCGGTGACTGCTCCAGCGGCAGCAGTGACAACAACGTGAACTATTACACCAGGTAAGTTCCCAGAAAAGAGAGGTGGGTCACTAATATCAAGTCTTTCCTTGCCACAACTTTCCTAAACATGCACTTTCACACTACCAAATAAAATTCAGTAACAAAGATAATTCTTTTCTGATGTGGAGGATCAGTTTACCAGCAGTGGTGGGGCGGCTCTAGCAGCGGTGGGACGGCTCCAACAGTGGACAAAAGGCGGAAAAAAAAAATTCAAGATAACCTTAAGCTCTAGATACCATGTTGAATATAGAGAAAATAGGGTTTGGAATTAATTTCCCTTGTGTATAAATCACACATAGAGTGGGCTATTTATAATAGAGAGATACAAATAAAAGAGTAACTGAAAGTAACAGAATAAACAAAAGATATTGTTTGATATTGTGGTTACCAATATCTAATAATATCTTAACAATATCAAATAATATCTAAACAATATCTAACAGAAACTATATTAAATTTATATCCTCTACTATTTCTATTTATGGGAGTGTTGTTTGTGTTCTATCCTTTGATCTTTAGTGTGCGTGAAGAGGTTTGTTTCCATAACATACACGTACTTGGCTTTTTAACTGGTGATGATCTAAAATTTCATTAAACTTATATATACATATGGTAGAAAATCCAACAAACTTGTTTTTATAAGAAATCTTTTGGTTTTTACTCAATGCACACAACCAAGGAAGCTGTCTACCAGAACAGAAAAATAATGGAAACATGCTCAAGTTAAACCACAACAGTTGACATCAGGGCCCTAAAATCTCGTAGAATATATAGAACCGCAACTTTGGTACACAAAGCATGATCTGATCAGCTAAAAGAGAAAATATGCACAATCCTTTAAACTGCACTAGAACCTAGTCATGCTTAATGAAATTCAATAGTTAAGTAAGTTTATTATTTCAAAAATTTCATAAAATAATAAAAACCCAATGTAATGTTTAAATTTAGATTTTGCATGACGATAATGATAAAGAAATATTTAAAAATTAATGGAATTATAAATGAAACTATTTTTTCAAACTCATTCTGATTTAACGGTCACCCTAACAATTTTAACGGTCACCCTAACAATTTTCAATTTACACCCTGGTGCCTTTGGATTTGTTGCAACAAGTTCACCATTCGGTCATTTTATGTATTTTTGTTTTACATATAAAAAGGACTACGTATGTTATCATCTTTCTACTTGTACTTCCAATGGAAAATCCAAATTCTAGATTATCCAATCTAAATTTGAACTTCAAAAAGGAATCAAAGTCTAAGAGTATGAGGTTATAAAATGTAATAATATAGATCTACATAATACAATTTCTTATCATCACCATTTAGGACATGAAGAATGATGAATATGAAATTAACCTTGCCACTGTAAGTTTGAGGAAGATTTTATGTCTAACACTAATACATTATAGGAAACTCTTAATGAAGATATGATTGAAGTATCACATGTAATTTTTAATAGATATAAGATTGAAAAACCGGGAGAATCTCTTAACGAAGATAATCACGTTTGACCAATAAAGACCACCACATTATCTCACTAAAAATATTTCAAAATTTATATAGTAATCTTAACTCTCTAATAAAATTAAATATCTTAAATTATTATATATTTAATTATAAACTTTCATAAACAATTAAGATATTAATAAAAAAGTTATTTATTACAATTATTGTTAACAATTTATAAGAAGGTAGTCTAACATCAAACCAAAAGAATGAAACTTGGACTATTCTTGCTTGACCCATAGAAAAGAGTTCAATAAGATGTTGATGAATATATACCATAAAACATAAAACAGATGATATAATAGAACTATTTAAAGAAAGCCTTGTATATTAAATTGATTACATAAAAACATTTATTTCTCTAACTAAAATTAACAAAACAATTTGCAAGAAGTCTTAAATCATCCAAGATGAAAAAACTACTATGAACTAGGAGATTAAAAGAATGAATTTGGACCTTTGTTGATTACCCAATATAAAAAAAGAGTCTTTGACAACAAACTTAGACTGACCATTGATACCATTTAATGTAAAAAGTGTTTTTTTTTTATATATATATATAAAGAATTAACTAAAGAAATATACATGCATCTCTCAACAAGTTGTATAGTACCAAAAAATACAATAAAAAACATACCCAGCTTCACCAATTTTTTTTGCCTCAGCTTCTTCAGTTCCAAGTCCGCATTGATCCTCCCCAGCCTCTCAAACGCGATTCTCTCTCTGAGGAACCCTATTTCCCTCTTCTTTTCCTCGAGCTCCGCCTCCAGCCTTGCTTCCCCGCCACCAGCCATTCCTCAACTTGATCGAAGTCGTGACTCAGGAACGAGTCGCGCAACTTAAAAATCAACTCGGGAATGCTCGCGCCGTTTGGCTTCCCCGTACCTGACCCGGATTCGGGTTTTGGAGTCATGAGGTGCCCTAATGGTGCGAACTTTTTTAAGAATTGGAATGTGGGTGTGACAGAGAGAACTTTTTTAAGCCCAGCTTCCGTTTTATAGTTTGTGAACATAATAGAACGTTTGACTTAGTTTTATATTTTAGCTTTTAAACATTAGTTTTAAAAATTTGATTTTTTAAATAGACGAACAAATTTATTTAATAATTTTTTAAAAATTTATTTTATAAGAAAAAAATATAAATAATTATAATTCGCAATAAAAACTGAAAAAATAAAAATAAAAATAAATAATTTGATATAATTATTAATAAAAAAGAAAATTAAAATAACTAATACCTTTTATTATTTTAATTTTTTAAAATAAAAATAATATTTAAAAACAATTTTAATAAAAAATTTAAAAATTAAATATTTATAGTTTTAAAAATTAATAAATTATATTATCTTAAGAATAAAAGCTTGGATCCCAGACAAATATACCACATTAATATATTCTTTGAACATATGGTGTATAAAAAAATCTAGCTTTTTCAAACAAAACAACACAATCACATTATATTAATATTATAATAATATATAAGAGAAACAATAATTAAAAATAAATATTATGGATTAGATATATGTTTAAAATCTGGTTATCAAACAATCTAAATTCTGTTTTATATATAGATATTACATGCTTCTATCATCAACAGAAAACTTTAAAATAAAACTTGTAAAAATGTTAGAAAAATACAACTTTATCTGCATTTATTCTAATTAGTTCTCTCATCAATCACTTGTACGGCTCCACCCTTTAGTTTGTGTATCTTCATCCTCCAATCCTCCTTCCATTTTCACCCAAAATGTAGTGATTTTCACATCCAATGAATGAGAACATGCAGACAAATGTTCCTTACTCAATGGATATTAACAGATGAGTGATACGTGCAAGGAACCAAATACAAATCTTGTTTTCTTCTGACAGACAAGCCAAATGATTCAGTCATGTCAAGCTCTTCACACTTCAGCCCATTAGGCATCTTCCAATCAAAATGGAAAAGTAGATTTGCTAGCAAGAGTTCAACGTTAGCAATGCCAAAACTGCTTCCGGGACACATTCTCTTCCCAGCACCAAATGGAATAAACTGAAAATCTGCACCTTTGTAATCAACTGCCAAATCAATGAACCTTTCTGGACAAAATTTCTCAGCATCATTCCAATAGTTTGGATCCCTTCCAATGGCCCAAGCATTAATAACAACCTTGCTCTTAGCTGGTATTTCATACCCATTAATTTCACATCTCTGACTACACTCTCTTGGTAGTAATAATGGAACAGGAATGTGTAGACGCAATGTTTCTTTGATTACTGACTTTAAGTACTTCAGGTCATGGAGGTTAGCTTCATCTACATGCCCCTTTTCACCAAAGACCCTTCTTACCTCAGCTTGTGCTTTCTCCATCACCCTTGGGTTTTTTATAAGTTCTGACATTGCCCACTCTATGGTTTTAGCTGAAGTACCACTTCCAGCACTGAAGATATCCTGAAACAAATGCTAAAATGAGCATAATTGCCAACAATTTATTGCAACACTACTGAACTAGTATAGTATGTTCCAGTTCTGTTCAGATAACTTATAGTAACACTACTTAACTAGTATAGTATATTCCATCTAACTTCTTCTAAAGTTGAGGTGTACTCATTGAGCTTAATGTGAGAGAAACTCCATTTTATTTTGTTGTTTTCTTCTATAAATGTTTTTGAAAAACTTTATCCAAATAGTAAAAACAATTGATAACTCCAACTGAACAAACTGTTAGGTTTTTATCAAGTGGCTTACATGAAAAACTTTGCTTTTTTCTTCAAATTCAAGAATCCTTCATAGATTTTACTTGAGCCTTTCTACAAAAACTTCTGTGAGAATTATAACATAGGTAGAATTTACTTAAACTTCGTTTGTAGTGAAAATCTAAGTATGCTATGAATCTTGCTTATCCTTGCCAGCAATTCTCACATAACAGTCCTAAAAATAAATGTTACAATCATAAAAAATCTGTAAGGACATAGGAAGAGGGTGAACATCGTCGTTGAGTTTAGACAAAGGAAAACAAGGTCATAACTGTACATAAGTACACATAATTTGAAAACCGAAATTCTACCAAAAATGAATATTCTTAACGAAATCAACAGGTGTTATTTGATCTTTGATGATATATATTTGGAGCTATTTTGGAAATTATGTGATTTATAATTGCAGAACACTAACCAAGATGGTTGCTTTGATAACGTTGTCAGATACAGGATGTTCAAGGTTGTTCTGCTCCTGAAGCCTTAACAGGACATCAACTATATCCTCCCCTGCTTTTTCATTGGTTTCCTTTGTTTCTGAGCTAGTGTCCCTGTGATCTCTCACAATTTTCTCTAGGATCCTATCTACTTCTTGATGTAATTTCTCAACTTTGGACCTTAATCCCGTCAAAACTTGAAGCAGTTTAATAGGATACAAATCAGCTAGGGAGAAACCAGCCAAAACTTTTGACGCATCTTTCATAACAGCTATGAAAGCTTCTTGATCATTGGATTTACCTCCAAAAGCTACCCGTGATGTTAATCCATAGGAGAATGAATTGATCATCTTACTGAGATTCATAGATGACCCTTCACTCAAACCTATCTCTTTAACAAGCTTTGATGCCTCCTCTTCCCTAATTGCTTGAAATGATTCAACGCGCTTTGGAGTTAGTAGCTCAAAGGTGCAAATCTTTCTCATCTGCCTCCAATAACTTCCATAAGGGGAAAAACTCATGCCCTTGGAGCCATAAGTTACAACATCTACTGCAAAAACATAAGGCCTATTTGCAAATATGGTGTCATGTGTGTTCATCACTTCCTTGGCCATTTCAGGGGAAGACACCACTATGGTGGAAAGTGCACCAAGTTTTATGTGCATGAGAGGGCCATATTGGTGTGATAGTTTTGCTAGGTCATGATGAGTCATTGCTCCAAGCTGGTGCAAGTTTCCTATAAGGGGTAGTTTTGGTGGTCCTGGTGGTAACCTGGTGTTTGAAGACTTTGTTTTTGATCTCCAAAATATGCTAAACACTGTGAACAAGAAGATGAAGAAGGGTAAGATTGCAAGTGAGGGAATGTTTTGGAGACCAGAGGCCATGGTTGTGAAGCAAAACAAGCGATCAATTCAGTATCAGAACCTAACGTGAGAATTTGTAGACACAAATTGCCATGGAAGAGAAGAGGGCAACTTTGTTATCTGAAAAGAATAAAAAACTATGAATTGTAGGGAAGAGAGTTTTATCTAGTGATTGGTAAGATAAAATTATAATAATTTAAAACGATCTTTTTTTTAAATATAATAATTTAAATTTAATATATTTAACTTTTTAAAATTTAATATATTTTAACTTTTTAAAAATTGTAAAAATCTATAAACAAAATATTTAAAAATTATAATAATCTAAACAAAAAACAATTTAAAATTTTTTATTTGTGAAATTTCATCTCCAAAAGAACAAAAGTAAGGGATTTGTTGGTTAAGAAATCAAAGTTCCAAATTTTTAACTTTATTGTACTTTCTTGTAATAATTTTCTTTTCTCATTTAATTATACTTCTTCCTAATGAGTTTTGGAAATAATAATACACAAAAAATCCTTTTTATGAAAAGTTTTAGTGAAAATAGTAATTGTCCAAAATTTAAGAATTAAATTGGTTGATAGTTGATCATTTTTAAAAATTATTTTGTCATCATTTTTATTTTAGAAATTGATTTGACTATTATTATAATTTTAAATACCATATTGATGTATACTATTCCAAATATTACTTTATTATTATTATTATTTAATATTTTTAAAAATTAATTTGATGCATTATTATAATTTCTGAAAACTATATTGATTGTTATTCTATTCTAAAATCATGTGACTCAACTTTCTATTTAAAATATCAAACAATTGCAGTGCATCGTTTTCGTGTCACTGTTTCTTTCATCATTCTCAGCAATCTTAAAAGATAAAACACTTTCATCAATTAGACAAATATAAACCTTTGGAAAAATGATTTTATAAATACATTGTTGATACCTCTTTAATAATTGAATTATTGTAGTATAATAGAGAAATGCTTATTTTAACTTTTTTTTTCTTTATTCTGTGAAAACTTGTGAAATATAAAATAAAAGTATAAATTTATTTATTTATTTATTTATTTTTCTCTCAGAAACCAAACTTCCAACACCATGATATCCAAATACATACTTTTCTTTACATTTATTCAGTAAAATAAAAAGGCTGAGAAAACATCACTAACAATGGATATCAACTTTCCTTATTCTCAGCTCTTTCATGGATGGAAAGTGAAAGGAATTAGCAGCAAATCATGTTTTCTACCAACTGATATTCCAAAAGCCTCAGTCATATCCAAATCTTCCTTCTTGATTCCATTGGGAACTTTCCAATCAAAATGGTACATCAACAATGCAAGAGGAAACTCAACAGTGGTCAAGCCAAATGTGAGGCCAGGGCATATTCTTCTTCCCGCACCAAATGGAATATACTCAAAATTATTGCCTTTGTAGTCAACACCACTTTCAATGAACCTCTCAGGATAAAACCTCTCAGCCTCAGGCCAATGATCTGGATCTCTTCCAATAGCCCAAGCATTGACAATGACCTTGCTTTTGGTTGGTATGTGATACCCTTTTATTTCACAAGCTTGTCCACACTCTCTTGGAAGTAGAAGGGGACCAGGAGGGTGCAGTCTCAATGTCTCTTTCACAACACATTTCAAATATTTTAGATTATCCATGTCACTTTCATTAAGGTGTCCTTTCTTACCAAACACCTCTCTTACCTCAGCTTGTACCTTCTTCATTATTCTTGGATCTTTTATCATCTCTGCCATTGCCCATGTTATGGTAGTGGATGATGTCTCTGATCCCCCTCCATAGATATCCTAATTCAAAATCATGACAGCATGATGTTCATCTGAATTTTATAGGAAACAGTGGAATGAATACCTATATTCTTTGCAACTGAAGAATATGAAAGATAATTAAATGAAGATAACCCAAATAATAGCATATTTCTCCATTAAGTATAATGAATTACCATTTAGAAGTTAACTACCATGCTTCAGAAGTTATCAGCACACAGAAGTAATTTAATAAGGTAAGGAAATAATAACAAGCTATTGTTTACCATAGGGAAGATGTCAATTGTTCATCACTTTCTTTCTACTATGCAAATAAAATTTATGGATGATGTAAATACTCTTACCATAATCACAGCCTTGATACTATTGTCACTTAAGCCAAACTCCTCCTTCATGAGCACATCTACAAGATCATCCTCCACTTCTTCACCACGGCCTTGAGCAGCACTCGACTTAGCCTCTCTATGCTCATTGAGGATGCTTTGCATTATCCTGTCAGTTTGTTGATGATACTTCTCAAGCCTAGGCTTCAACCCTGAGATGTGCTGAAGCCATTTAGCAGAAGGGTATAAATCTCCCAAGTCAAAACCTCCAGCAATCTTTGTGGCTTCCGTTACAGCTGATATGAACTTTTTATGGTCCCTACACTTTCTTCCAAGGGCTGTCCTTGAAACAATTGTAGATATTGTTGCAAGCACTTCTTGGGTGAAATTTATGGGTGACCCTTCGTTTGAAGCAATGTTTTTTATGAAGTTAGTAAGCTCTTCCTCTCTTATTGGCTGGAAAGATTGGACACGTTTTGAGCTTAATAGCTCCAATGCACAAATCTTCCTTAGCTGTCTCCAATAACCACCATAAGGAGCAAAAGCTATGCCCATAGAATCATAAGACATTATCTTTGAAGCTAGTATTGGAGGCCTTGATGCAAAGATGAGATCATGGGTTTTTAACACTTCTTTAGCATACTCTGGGGATGAAACCACAATGGTAGAAACCTCTCCAAGCTTCAGATGCATCAAGGGTCCATATTTTGTTGATAAATCTCTCAGTCTACGATGGGGAAGTGAGCCAACAAGGTTGTGTATGTTCCCAATTATAGGTAGCTTCCATGGCCCTGGCGGTAAATTTGGAGTTGAGGCAGATTTCTTTGTCAATATTTTGAGTGCAATGAACATAACAATGACACTGGATAAGAAGTAGAGGGTTTGAATATCCATGTGGAAACAGAACATAGATCTAGGCCTTCAGTTTTGCCAACGAAATTTTTTTGCAACTCATATATAGATTGTAGAACCTTCATCATCCATTATTGAGTTTTAGTAATGCCGTGATTGCAATATACTGTGCAATTTGGTGATGTATTTGATGAATGCAACACCAATTCAAAATGGACAAGAATGTTTGCATAGACAAAAACTAAAAACTATATACAAAATAGTGGTTGCAATAGTGCACCAAGTGACAAACATATAGTTTTAAAAACTCCCTAGCAAAATCATATATATGGCTTAAAAAATTTCAGAACTTTAGACAATTATGATCTTTTAGAGCAATCCTTCGCACATATATATATATATATATATATATATATATATATAGTTATGAAACTTGGTTTCACAATAAATAAATAAGAAAATTACACTGACTTTCATACTCAATTACATTACATCCAATGTCCCTCTTAGAAGTAATGGTATATGTAGGTAGGAAGGGAATAAAACATTATTCTGATACTAACGTCATTGATTTGATCCTGATTTATTCTCCTCTTAATTAATTATAGGATTTTATTTCTTATCATAATCTAAATTTAACACCAGAATTTCAACCTTCCTAATTCACAATATTGACACCGGAAAGATACATAATTTTTATTTATGAGTAACTTTGGAAACAAATAGTTTAAATATTGAAAATTATTGGGATGTCCTAGTCTATGATGCAATAACATAATTTCATCATTATTAGTTAAAGAAATAGAACTGAAACAGGTTTACTGGTCTTGCCTTCTAACACTTGATTCTTGACAGAAAAAACATAGAGGCCACCATACCCCAATCATGTTCTCCGAGGTTAAATCTTAAAATTTACAATGAGATGGCCAAAAAATTATTTGGAAATTTTGGTCAGAGGTTAATTTAAAGAAGAAAGATTGTAGGATTAATGAGAACATATGCAAGACCTCATGAAAAGTTGTTGATTATTGTCAAAATCAACTCTGTTCACCAAACTTATGAGGCAAAAGATTTGAGCTGTTGATTGTTTCTCAAAATCAGCTCAGTTCACTTTATTTATGACGAAAACTATTAATTAGTTATTTAAATCATAAAGGAACAGATCTACAAAGGAATCATTTTCAATTTTGAGCTTCTGATTAACTGCATGCACAAGGAGTATATGAAGAAAAATAATTGTGATATGCCTGATTTGGTCTGTAGCACCTTAAACACAGTTTGGCTGGAGAAAATATTGTTTTTATCTCTTATATAGTTTCCATTGTCATTCTAAACTATACAACAATAGAACTAGGAAACACTTAACCAAACAGAACTTTGTTCTGCAAATTGTGTTACAGGGATAACCAAAGGTTTCAGTTTCTCACAGAGAAGTTCACGTGACAGGCAAAGGATGATAAGGGAAAGGGACCAAGAACAGATCATATTTTCTTCTAACTGTGAGTCCAAACACCTCACTCATGTTCAATTCTTCACTTCTGATTCCACTGGGAAGTTTCCAGTCAAAGTGATACAACAACATTGCAAGGGTCAGTTCAATAGCTCTCAAAGCAAATGTGCTGCCTGGGCATATCCTTCTTCCAGCACCAAAAGGAATGAACTCAAAATTATTCCCTTTATAGTCAATAGTGCTATCAATGAATCTCTCAGGATAAAACCTCTCTGGCTCAGTCCAATAGTTTGGATCTCTTCCAATTGTCCAAGCATTGATTATGACCTTGCTTTTGGCAGGTATGTGATAACCATGTATCTCACATGCTTGACCACATTCCCTTGGAAGCAAAAGAGGAGTTGGAGGGTGCAGCCTCAAGGTTTCTTTGACTACTAGTTTCAAATATTTGAGTTCATTGATGGAATTTTCATCTACCCTCCCTTTCTCACCGAATACCTCTCTCAGTTCAGATTGTGCTTTCTTCATTATTCTTGGATGCTTTACCATTTCAGCCATTGCCCAATCTATGGCTGTTGCTGATGTCTCACCTCCAGCAGCAAAAATGTCCTGAAAATATAACTAATTTATCAATGGAGTATACTATAGTGACAATTCTTGAGGTACTCTCCTCCATCCTTCTATCCTTTTTATCCCTAAATCATTTAATTATTTGAAACAGTTTACACTGAACCCTCCTATGACCCAGAAACACATTATACCTTATACCCCTACAAGGAGGGTTGATGCAAACGTTAAAAAAGCATAAGGGATGATGAGTCCTAGTTGTCCCTGAAGTGGAAAAGGTCATCCCTAAAAGGATTATTAGGAGCATGATTAGAAAGGAGACCTCCTCCTCACCCTCTATTTTAAATTTACTTAGTATTTTTGTTTCTTAAAAATTTAGAACTTTCTTTTTGCAGGACCACTTTTTACCCCTCTCTTTTGAAGAATACCACCTCTTTTTGGTGGAAAAGAAGCCTTGGATCCATAGTACATGCATGGGAAGCTCAAAGGTGTAGGACACTCCTTTTTATGTCCTACACCCCTTGTTTGGAGAGGAAAAAGCTTGGGATACGAGATTGGAAGGCTTGGAACGAACCCAAAAGAAAACACACCTTTTTTTTCATGTTCTCCACACCCTTAGAGGTATTTTTGGTGGGCTAGGACGAATTTAACATATTTGGTCCATGGAAACTTTTAGTCATGTTTAGGTTAAGTTTATGTCTCCTTTTATAATTTTACACCATTTATGTATCTAAGGGGTTGGTTCAGTTTTTCAGTGCTTGTCTTTATTCTTTTCTAGCTTCTTTCCATCTCCAATAATTGAAAATGCTCCTTCATACCTAGATAGGTAACTATCCTAGTGTCCAGTGAGAATTTTCCTTAGTTTTGCTTACTTTATTGTTTAAACTCATGCACCTTATCTTCTTGAAATTCTACACCTTACCTTATTATATATCAAAGGGTCGTGTGCAACTCAAGAATCCCCAGAGCATGCTAGAGTAATTTGCTCTGACCAGTGATAGTAGGATGGTGCGAGGATGTCCAAATAGTTAAAGGACAAGCTTCATGCTGCGAGCATTATATGGCAAACACAACTACTACAAAGATAAGATATAAAGGGGCAAGCATTTATCTTACTAATTCTAATGTAGCAACCTGTGTGAGCAAGATTGTGTTCATAAAAGTATTTGCAAGAAGTTATTATCCATACCAGAATTATGGCCTTGATGTTGTTTCTAGTTAAGAAAAAATCCTGCTTGCTACCATCCTCATATTGCATGAGAACATCCACAAGATCTTCTTCTGCTTCACTTTGGTCATCTTTGGCTTTTGACTTTGCCTCTTTATGCTCATGGATGATGTTTTCCATTATCTGATCAACTTGTTGATGAGACCTCTCAAGCTTAGGTCTCAAGCCAGTGACAAGTTGAAGCCATGTAGAAGAAGGAAAGAATTCTCCTATATCAAAACCTGCTGAAAGTTTTGTGGTTTTTCTAATCACTGATATAAATTTTTCTTGGTCTTTGCATTTCTTGCCAAAGGCAGACCTAGAAGCAATTGTATAAATTGATGAAAGTACAGCTTGAGTGAGGTTGAAGGGGGATCCTTTCTCTGAATGAATCCATTTGACAAGATTGGAGAGCACCTCTTCTCTAATTGGCTGGTATGAGTTGACACGTTTTAGGCTTAAAAGCTCCAATGTGCAAATTTTTCTTAGCTGCCTCCAATAATTGCCATAAGGAGCAAAAGCTATACTTGTGGAATTATAAGACAATATATCAATAGCTAAGACTTTAGGCCTTGTGGCAAAGTTAATATCATGAGTCTTCATCACTTCCATAGCACACTCAGGGGATGAAATGACAATAGTAGAAACCTCTCCAAGTTGAAGATGCATCACTGGTCCATATTTTAAGGCCAAATCTCTTAATTTTCTATGGGGTTGAGAGCTTAGCAGATTGTATATATTTCCAATAATAGGTAGCTTTCTAGGCCCATGGGGTATTTTAGAAGTTGTGTCATCAGTTTTCTTGGGTTTCATAATAAGGGTTGTGAAGACTAACGAAATAAGAGCTATGTAGAGGAATATAAGAGCCATTGAAAAGAAGCAGAGTTGTACTACTAGTCTGATCATATTGTCGTCTGTTTATATACTCATCACTCTGCAGTTATCTCCTCGATTTCTAATCTTCAGTTTCTCCTATGTTTGGAAAGAGTATTTAATTTCTTCTCCTTAGAAGAGTCTACTACTTTAAACTATGTTTAATTCTTAATAATGTTAATGTAAAAAAAATTATTAGCCCACTAATGGTTAGTTTGAATGACACTGTTGAAACTTTTTGTACTATTAATGAAGCAGGTTATTTACGATTTTAAATGTTAAAAGTGATTAGTTACAATAAAGATTGTTGTTACAGAGATAAACCTAATTTTTACTGGAAGTTTTACAAAAACTTGGTCACAGTGAAAAGTATTGGAAATTGAAGAAAATAAAAGAAAGCAACATAGGCAAAATTGATTGAAAAAAAAAACATGATAACAATTTATTTATAATTCTATTCATATGAATTAAATATTGAGGATTAAATATTTAGACTCATGATTGTCAAAATATACTTTTAAGTAAAAAATAAAGTAATTTAAACTTAAAAATTTATACCATAACTTAAATCAGACATATTTTAAGATTATAATTTATATAAATTTAGGTTAGTTAATCCATGAACTTATAAAAACAAAAATAAAAATAATATTATTTATTAAAAAATATACATATTAATTATAAATTAATTTGATTAATGATTTACTTATTATAATTAATATAATAATAAATATCAAAATAAGATTCTATCAATCATTTATTTTAATATCTAATTTAATATCTAATGGTTAAAATTAATTATTAGTTTATATAAATAAATTACTAAAAAATAATAATAACAAAAAATATATTTGTAATTCTTATTTTGATATTAAGTAGATATATTCTCTTATAATTTATACTAAATTACTATATATTAAATAAAAATTAATTTTAATAATATAATTTAAATTTTAAAAATAAAATTTTTTGTTTTAATTTAAATATTTTTTACTTAATTATTTTGATATAGATAAACATGGTCATATTTTTTATTTAAAAATTGATTCGTGTTGAACTAATATAAAATTAAATTAGATTAAAAATTATAACCTATAGATGGCAAAACGAGTCGACCCACCCCGTTTTGGCCCGCCTGTCTTTGGCCGTCAAAAGCGGGATGGGGCGAACTGGCCCGTTATAGTCATGACGGCTGTAAACCTTAGTCTGCCTCGCCAAGGGGCGGTCAGCTCGCCATAATTAAAAAAAAATTATTTTTTAAAATAATTTTTTTTAATAAATTTAATAATAAGATTCTTATTTGTTTGTCAATAATTTAATATATATATATATATATATTTTAATTTAATAATATAAATCAATACATTGTTTTAAGAAATTATAATTTAGAACAATAATAAAATTTACATAATAATAAATAATAACAAACAAAATATATATATATATATATAAATAACGTTAAAACTTATAAAATTTATATTTTTTATATTCAAAAATTCAAATACCTATATTTTTTTATTTGATAAAACTTCACATTATTCTTGGTTGAGTAATTCTTACACCTTTAATTCAAGTCATAAGGATAAAAATAATCGAGTGTTTAGGATGAACAAGGAGAACACGAGAGAGAATGGTTGTGTTTTAGTAAGAAGAATATTTTACTGTGTGAAGGTGAAACTTTTTTAATTCTCTTTTTACAAAATTTAACTTTATATATTATCTTTATAATTAATTTTATTACAATAAAAAATTATTTTTTTATTAATTAGGCGTGTCGCGAGCTTGGTCCGCCTTGTCTCATGAGTTGGCCGTACGGACCAAAAGCAGTTCGGTAGGCTGAAAACACTAATCCACCCTTGACGGGCCGACCCGCCGAATTTGGTCCGTTTTGCCATCCCTAATAACCTATTAAAAGGATAGATAAGATTAGGTTGTAGCCTACATTATATCTTTGATAATGACTACCCCAATCACATAACCAGATACTTTTCATCAGGATAAAAGTCAGTCAAAATGGAGAAATTGTACCAGCAGAAAGAAAAAAGAACAATTTTTATATCAATCAAGATAGCTATGATAATTGTCACATATGCTCAGGATATTTCAAAATTGGATCGAAGTTTTCCGACTGTAGCACAAATGCGTTGGAATCAAGATTTTCTTAGTCTTGCACAATTGTTAAGATGTGGATTTGAAATCTCTTTTAAAGGAAAGTATTGTTTATATCATTGATGAGCATGGAATTGAGATTGCAAATATTGAAGTTTAATTTAATTGAAGGTCAAGATTCTATCGTTAAAATTGATGAAAGTGAGATGTTTGAGATGAAAATTGGGTTACATAAACTTGAAGTCATTAAAATTTATGCAAGATTTTGAGAAGACAAATCTTTACAATGATTTAAGTCAGAAATTCAAGGGTAACTTGTTACTAAAACATTTTCGTTATCAAGTTTGATGTTCTTGAAGTTATAAAACTAGGAATTTCCATGGCATAAAGAGTGTTAGAAATTTTAGTTTTTCTTTACTTGAATTTTGAATTTAAAATCAAATTTTAGATAGTGATTTTGATATTGTTCAAGATTTTATCTTCTGTGATTTGTTTAGTTAGTTCGCTTAAATTTTAAGTTTTAATAATGGTAGGTTAGATACTCTAGAAAACTTAAATTATTTCTAAGCCTCTGTCATCAAACTTATTTGAGCCTATTTCTATAACTGATAGTTTTCTTTGTAGCTTTCTTTGTAGCAGATTGGGAACATCTATGTCTTGGTGATTGCTCAGCATTCTCTTTATTTTTTGGGACACTGTCACCATTTTCAGATTCTCCTATATTGGGAATGTGTAGTTCCGTGTTTAATTTCTTCTCTATGGAAGTATCTGCTGCTTCAAATTTTAAAACTGGTTCCATTTGGTTCAATCAATGAACAAGTTATCATTATTTCAAAAGACAAACGGTCATCTTTCATGAGTGTGTCATTCTATAATTTACAATTTTTTAATACAAGGACATCATCATCACCAGAGCTATTGTAATTGAAGTTTTGTCATTTTTACCAAAAGATGCATATATGCTGTGAACAAGAACTAAGAAAATGAAAGAATCAATATGATGAACGTACCCTATACTTTTACAACCTTACACTCTTACATCAAGCTTCAACAAACATTCCCCGTAAAAACAAATATATATTTATCAAGAAAATAGGCCAAAACTTCTTTGACTGTTAAGCAGTGGCGGATCTTATTGGGAGCTGAGGGGGGCCGTGGCCCCCCCAAAGTTTTATAATTCCCATGTAATTTATGATTTTGGTCCCCCCCAAACATAATGAGTATTTAATATATTTACTTGTATATTTACAATTTTATCCTCCAATTCCTCCTCGGTTTTGTAACTCTCATATAATTTATGATTTGGTTTCACTCAAACTTAATGATCATTTAATATATTTAAGTATATATCTACAATTTTATCTTTTCAACTTTTCATATTCTTTTTTCTTTTTATTATTTATTAATAATATATTATTTGGCCCCCCAAGATCAATAGTCAAGATCTGCCACTGCTGTTAAGGATGATTAGTAAGATCATGCAGACTTCCATGTTGTGTTCAACTTGCAGGGAGAAACTTTAGTCTGAAGTTGATGTGTTATTAAAGAAACAATTGGAAACCATAAGTGTATGGATTAAATTGGTTAACTGGACTTCAGAACCAGAAATCCCTCTGAAGTAAATAAAGTAAGGAGTCTCTAAGTTTGTTTTGCATGTGTAGTTAGGGGATGGGAGAATTGTTTCTTGATTCTTACAAGTTTGTTTATTATTATTAACTTTACTTATCTTTCTATTTTCAGATTTTCAGGTCTGGTGCATGCAGGTTCTCAACTAGGGAGGTTTGGATGTTTTAGTTAGTTTTACAGAGTTGTTAAGGTTGTAATAGAATTAGTTAGGAATTTTAGTGGAAGGATGGGACTGAATTATCACCTGGGAAGGAGCTGAACTACAGATACTGGATGAAGAATTTCATGTTTCAATGTAAATTTCATCTTTGCTGGTCATTTTACCATTTCTGTTCCCAACCTGAATTTGCATATTAAATAGAATTATGTTTCAATTGGTTATACAGTAGATTTATTTTACAATTGGTTACAGATCAGTAATGGTTGTTGAACTTGAGATATTATTATTGTATGTAAGTATAGAAGAGTCAAAAAGAACTTTGCCTTTAACAAGCAACAGATTAAAACACAGTCTCCACTCATATATGACTATCACAATTACAGTTTCTAATCCTTCTCAGAAAATATGATTATATGATGTATAAAAAGTTTTTACACAGTGCATTAGTTGCACAAATTTCATTTTCTACTAAAGCCAAGCATAGCGGGACCTCATCTTATTTCATTTAACCTTAGATTTTTATTCTGCAGTAAATATTGCCTAGTCATCACTAAAGGTTTCAGTTTCTCATTGTGAGTTCACTTGAAAGGCAAAGGATGACAAGGGAATGGAACCAAGAATTGATCATGTTTTCTTCTAATTACGATTCCAAATTCGTCACTCAAGTCCAATTCTTCATTTATCATTCCATTGGGAAGATTCCAATCAAAATGATACAGCAACACCAAGGGCCACTTCAGTGACTCTTAAACCAAATGTGCTTCCTGGGCATATCCTTCTTCCAGCACCAAAAGGAATGTACTCCGAATTTTTCCCTTTATAGTCGATGTGATAAGGACAAACGTATAGAACAGTAATAACCGCAAAAGCCAGTGCAGGAAGGGAAAACAGAGGAGAGAGGGGAAACAATCTAGGAAAGAAAATGGATTAACAAGTGTTCTTGGATTAAGAGAGAAAGTATTACAACTAATATTTTTCTATTTCCCTATTTACAAGACAACAATTCTTATATATAGGAAGTGGTAGTAAGGTAGTTAGTTTTACCGCCAAGACCGGTACCCAAAAGAAAATGTTATAACATTGTCCCCTCTTAAAGATAAAA